CCAAAGGGTTCTACTTGCACGAGTTACCCCTTAGGGGACCATAAACAAAATTTGATTTTCTACTTTTTGGACGAACCCCTATTTCTTTGTTACCCCCTTTCACCCCCTTAGGGGTGGTTGCCCGGATTTGCACCAGGCGTTTCGTTGTCCAGGAGTGACCCCTAAGATACCTTGAAATTTGCAGACCCCTAGCTCATCTCCTTCCTCTTACACGGACGACGGACGGACGGACGGACACGAGAGCGGTTGCACAAGCCCGCTTTAATGCTTATTTAAAAGCAGAAGGGCGGGCTAAAAAGCAAGAACTGTATTGATTTTGAGCCCTCTAGCTCAAAAATTGGACGAGAACGGGCCACTTGAAATGCATTTGGAAAATATTGCTAATTTTAATTATTTTTTTATAGTTTTCTTAGGGGTAACTCGTCAAAGTAGAACCCTATGGGCGAAAATTTCGTCCGTTTGGCTCTATCTCTAACCGTTTAGTCGCCAGAGGGCGATTTTAACACGAAAATGACCCCAAACCATTTTAATGTTGTTTCTCAGATATTTGATGGTCTTTGGTAGGGCAACTCGTCAGAATAAAATCCTGGTGGTAAAATATGTGTCCTTTGGTGCCGAAGGCCTATCTACGACTCTGCCTTTTGCCCGACTCGGGTGTCAGCGCCGCAGGCCTAGGTAGATGTATGCCAGGCGCGTCGCAGCGTAACAGTGTTTCGTGAGATATCGCGAAGCCTGTTACGCGAGACGTGGTCTGGCGTACATCTACCTAGTTGTGCACTTTCCCAATTGCTTTATTTTTATTTAACAGTCATTGCTTGTTTACCGACGCACCGTGACACACACTAAAGCCGCAACCACCTTTAACTACAGAAATGTTGTATCAACTACTAGTGACACTTGTTTCAACAAAACTGTATGGTTGAGATAACGTTGAGAACCCCCCAGTTTTGCATGAATGATACAGTTTTGACGACAGTATACAGTTAACTGAACCATCTGGGTGTGGGTGTATGAGAGTGTGCCCCTCACGATGGTGTTAATGAGGTGGGCCACACAATCTTCTCGGGGCAGATCTTCTAGCGCCTTCTTAATATTCGAGCGACGGTCAGTTACCCATTCTATTTTCAAAAATTGGCTAGCGGTTATTCCTAGGTTTCCAAGTCTTCGGAAAATAGCGTCTTTAATGTTTCTTGCGTTTTTTTTCCTGGTCAGTTGGGAATTTGGCCATAAGAAGGTCGAGGGGGTTTTCACTTCTGAAATACCGTGTACACCAAATGAGGTATTTCACAGGTATTTCACGTGAAATACACCGAAATACGCCTAAATATGCTCCAAAACGGTGAACTTTTCCTGAGAAATACCGACGAAATACACGTATTACGAAATACTGTGTGCACGGAAATCTCGAGTGAAAACCCCCTCGAAGAAGGTAGTGGGACTCCTGGGCGGTGCACACTTTGTTTGCAAAGCAGGCTGTGACGTCAATGTAATGAAATTTATTTAAATCGTTGGTCAACATATCCGTGCTGCACCTGCAGCGCCCATCGTCTATGGCCTCTTTCGTGCACTCTACGGCTTCACCATGGGCCTCATCGGCCCTTTCCTCTATTTTGTTGGTGAAAGTAGAGGGGCAGGGGACTAACTGTCGGGCGTCCACCCGACCCAAGATGTGCCCTATATTGATAGCAGTTTGGACTAGCTCTACAAACATTTCACTGGTCTCATTATTCATGGATGACAGCGTGGCGGCGCAAAAAACGCCCGGTTTGGTTTGAAATTTATTCTTTGCGTCGGGGGTTAGAGGGCTGAAGCTTGGCACTTGAGAAGCATTTCGCTCTTTGACTACTGGACAGGAAATTTTTATGTAGTTAGTGGGGTGACTATTTCCAGTACCATTCAAAACACTTGAAGCATAACTGGCACTGCAACGCACCCACTTTGCGTGAATGACTTCCCGCATATTAACCAAACTATCAAATTGAACCTCGCCCGCGCGCCCGCTCCCTTGCGCTTGCCGCCTCCCCGTGCTCTTTTCTTTTCTCTAACTGTTTAGGTTTTCTCAAGCAACTTCTGCTCAATATCAGCTATCTTCTCATCAGCGAGAACCCGCGAGGACTTCGGCTTCTGTGGCGTTATAACTTCAACCACTCGCTCACCATTTGTTGTTGGCGGTAGGGGAGTGGGGGGGGG